GGCGGCGGCGGCGGCGGCGGCGGCGCCCGGTCTGTCTGCCTCCGCGGCGGCAGCAGCAGCAGCAGCCGCCGCCGCCGCCGCCGCTGCATGAACCTCTGCACCGCGGCTGCCCCCCGCGTGCAGCGCACCCAGCGGCGGGCGAGCGGGCGGCCCGAGCGGCAGGCGGAGGCGGCGGCGGCGAGGGCGGCAGCGGAGACCCGCGCGGCCGCCGGCCCCGCCCCGCACTCCCCTGCCCGGCCGCTGGGGGCTGGGGGGCGCCAGGGGGCTGCGGCCGGGGAGTGGAGGGCCCCCTCGGGCCGGGCTGCCCGGGACGTGATCCGCGGAGGAGACTGGCTGTACGCCATGAGTTTTGTCCCTCTCCGGCTGCCGTCCGGGTGGCGGGGGGGGGGGCGGTGATGTGTAAGGGTGGGGGTGTTTAAAGGGCCGCGGGCGCCGGGGTGGGGCCCTGCACGTGGGGCCGGCGCGGGGCGGGGCTGCGATAGGCGGTGCCGGGGTGGACGTGGGGGCTGGGGGACCCGGCGGGGCCCGGGTGGGGCCGGGGTGGGCGCCGCGCTCCAGAGTCTGGTGGGAACCTGGCAGCGACCGTCTGGGGCAGCCGGGGCGGGGGGGCTAGGGGAGCAGCTGTATCTTAGGCAGGTCGGTTATTTGTAATGTGGTTTGTTAGGTTAGAGTTAGGCGTGAGCTCCCGTAGTACCCTACCTTGAGCCTCCAGGAGCCGCTCGAAATGCGGTGGATTTACGTCTTTCCCCGACTGGATTTGCTCTGGAAGCTTTTCTTTCCACCACCACATGTAGGGAGGGTACCCAAAGAACCCCCACCCCGCATCCCGTGCTCTAACACCACGTCGCCAAAAATGCCAAGAGTTTTGGTTGTAGCATGAGCTCAGCTTTTACTCATCTCCTGCCTCCATCTAAATTTTCTCTTTCTCAGAAAATGCTCTTTCAACAAAACCCCACACATTGGGGAATTAGAGCAGTGGTGGACTTACCTAAACACGGCGTTTTGAACGTACCTGCGGGGAGACAGGTTGTGCCCAGCACGACCATCTAGCTGGATTAGAATGCTCAGCAGCCTTCTTGAGGTTACCCAGGGTAACCTGTGACCTGCTAAGTACAAGGGGAACTTGAGAACATTTTTGGAACCAGGCTGAATTTAAATAGTAACTGCTTAATGATACAAGTCCAGGACACCGGTTCGTCGTAAGCCATCTCCCTCGTAGAAAGCCTGGAATCTCAGGGACCCACTCTTGTCCTAGCTTCTCCAGAGCACAGCACGTGGGGGCTGACCAGCAGTTGTCTGTGAATGAATGAAGGATTAAAGAAAGAACAGCCTCACTGTCATCCTCCTGCGGTAACTGCCACCGTACATATTGGACATTGTGTGCAGTATGACCCAAGCCATGTGTCCGGTATTGTGGTCTAATGTACCAAACAGGAAACAATATTTAGCAAATGCTCTTACTGGGCATCTTTTTACATTTAAAAGCCCAATAGCTTTTCTTTAAGTATTTCTTCTGTGAGCATTGAACATTTTGCAGGATCTGGTGCCCAAGTGTGAAACATTCTAACAGGCTACAGGAGGCTGACTACAGTTAGTCTTTAGCTAGGACAGATGTGATGAGTAATTTCAAAGTCGGTTGAGATAAAAGCATTCTTCATCCTTGTTTTAACTTTTCTGGTACCTTGATTCACTTTGTAGTTAACAAAAAAGCAGGTTTTGCCTTTGGGTAGCATGCTTCGGTCATTTTAGCACATCGCTACAGATCTCAATCTCAGGTCCTTTCGTTCAGGAGATGCTCACTGACTTCCTGGCAGGAGCCAAGCATTGTGCTATGCACTAGCATCCAGAGTGAACAGGAGCTCATGGATCACTGAAGATAAACCTGTTAACAAATTATTAGTGTAAGTTGTGACACATGCTTCATTAGTGGTGTGTATCCAGTACTGTGGGAGGCCAGATAGAAGAGCCACCGAGAGATGTATCCGTGGCTCTCTTGGAGTAGTGACATTTGAATCGGATCCTGAAGGTATTGTAAGAGGCTCTCGGAGAAGAGGAGAGCTTTCGGACAGTGTAGGACGAGAGTTGGGCGAATGAGGAATGCATAGAGGTATGAAAGAATGCAGCATGTTCCAGGAGATAAACAGCTCACAGCCAAGGTGTTTCTCAGTGTTAGACAGTGGGATAGGACCCTATCTTGATCTTCAGTGAAAGCCAATGAGTGCAAGATTTGCATTTTTTTAAAAAGATTTTATTTATTTATCTGACAGAGCGAGACACAGTGAGAGAGGGAACACAAGCAGGGGGAGTCGGGGAGGGAGAAGCAGGCTTCTTGCAGAGCAGGGAGCCCGATTCCGGGCTCGATCCCAGGACCCTGGGATCATAACTTGAGCTGAAGGCTTAACGACTGAGCCACCCAGGCGCCTCGCAAGATTTGCATTTTAAGAAAAATTACCCGGTATCCTTTTGGAGGATAGAGCAAGGATGGTTTCGAGGCAGGGGGTCAGGGTATTGTGATGACAGATGATTTGGCCCTGAGCTAAGGCAGTGCCATGGGGCTGGAGAAGCCTGGCTGCATTTGAGAGTCATTTAAGAGGTAAAATCGATTTACTTGGTAACTGATTAGATGTTGGGGAAAGAGTCTGGCCAACTCTGAATTTCCTGGCTTCAGCAATAAATACATTTGATTTAGTAATAGTCAAAACAAGGAGAAAGAATTGGAAGCAGATTGAGGTTGTGTGTTGTCATGCTGTTTGAGGTACGTGGAGGGTGTTTGGGGGAGGGGGCTAGAGTTTGAGTTTCAGTGGTTATTGGGTTCCAGGAAATAGACAAAGAGAAAAGCACTCAATTGGGGGAATGTAGTTAATCCTTGTTGGTTTGAGTTACTTGTCAGGCTGCAGTGTCGTGGACAAATACCATCCTTCGTCTTCTGGTAGCACGTGCTAAGCTTTCATAAACAGGGCAGAGTGATGGCAGCTACTCCAAATGGCAGGAAAGGCATATAAAGGAGAATATACCTTCTTTCCAAACTTAAAATGAGGCCTTGTTATATCCAGTAGAGAACCAATAAAATATAACTCATTCACAGACCTGGACCCCTGACATTCTCAAAGGGTTCATCCATGACCTTCATGAGCCTCCAAAATCATGGATGTCACCATGACATATCATTTCCAGTATAAAAAGCAGTAAAGTGTGAAAAATGTAAGGGACCCTTTTAAACTCTTAATGGTTCTATAAATAGGGGACCAAGGTGATTTCTAAAGTGACTTAAATAAATTTTGCCTTTAAAACGAACTCCTTACTTCATTACATCTGTACTTCATTAACTCCGTATTTCCCTGGCTCTGCAAAGAAAAAGAAAATGTTAGCCACAGTGGGAGCATGACTACATAGATGTCAAGGAGAAGAGAAGAGCTGAGCTGTGTGGGGACATGAATGCCAGCCGTCAGGTGTGGTCCATTCACGAGCTAAGTGGCTGGCAAGTCCACTCTGGCGTCCTGGCAAGCCATTCAAATTTGTGTCTCAGCAATTACCTCATGGCAGAGACCTTTCAGATCATGCAGTGGAGACTGTGTTCATCCATGAATATTCAGTCTGCAAATGCCAATGGACTACTCCATGTAGTACGCATGAAAGTCCTCAGAAGTGCCACGATGTCTCTGTGCTGTTCTTCTAAGCTCCTCTTTCTCTCTTGGCGTAGTGAGTGTCCCTGCCCCATGACCATCACCTACCCGCCTCTCTTAGCACCTTTCGTGTTGTGTCACAGTTGAATGCTCACACAGATCTCCTTCAGTAAGCTGTTCACACCTCCGGGGAATGTGGCATCATGTCTTGTTGCCCAGCCCAGGGCCCCCCACCTAGGAGCTGCTCAGTAAATATTAAAATAATTAAAATTATTTTTTAATATGATAAAATATTATTTCTCATAACTTAACTGTGAGCTCTGTCTCCTTACCTACAGCAAGCATATATTTTTATCCTAATTCTTTCTGCATGGTACTTCTTTGTCCTCCCAATCTTCCCTCACAACGAGCCTTCTTGGTGGTAAGTGATGCCTTTTGTCTCTGAGCACCATATACCATCTCAAGGGTTATCCACTCTAGGCACCAAGAAAGGGAAAGAGTTCAATGACGAGATGCTGATGACAATCATTCCTTGTGAATAACCTCATTCGGGTTTATTCTCAGGGCACAGCACAAATGCTCCTTTGTACGTCATGCTTTTGATGGTCCTGTGCATGACAGAGACCCTCAGTTCCCCCAAGTTAGAGCCCCAGAGCACATTCCCCAGGATGCTGGCCTCTGCACC